TCTTGGCAGACAAGGCTCCCTTCAGATACATACTACAGAAGGTAACTAAAGTCCTTGGGTCTCCAACACAAACCTGATACTGAGGCAAGGCCCACGTAGAGACTTCTTACAATGTCTAGCAGTAGCTTCCACCAAGCTCCTCTGTGACACTCTTCAGCAAGAAGATTTTTTGCAGTTAAAGCTCCTTTCAGATACATACTACAGAAGGTAACTAAAGTCTTTGGGCCTCCAACACATGTCCTAGGCTAAAACAAGGCCCAAGTAGAGATCCTTCATACATTATCCAGCAGTAGCTAACCTAGCTCCTCTGTCACACTCTTCTACAAGGAGATTCTTTGCAGGCAAAGCTCCCTTCTGTATATAATCCAAAAGGTAGCTAAAGTCCTTGGGTGTCCGACACATACCACAGGCTGAGGCAAGGCCCAAGTAGAGATCCTTCTTACAACGTCCAGCAGTAGCTTCTACCCAGCTCCTCTGTAAAACTCTTTAGCAGAAAGATCCTTTGCAGGCAAAGCTCCCTTAAGATACCTACTCCAGCAGGTAGCTAAAGTCCTTGGGCCTCCAACACATGTCCTAAACTGAAGCCCAAGTATAGATCCTTCTGACAATGTCCAGCAGTAGCTAACCCAGCTCCTATGTGACACTCTTCTACAAGGAGAGTCTTTGCAGACAAAACTCCCGTTAGGTACATAATCCAGCAGGTAGCTGGATATGGCCACCGCCACATGTCCAAGGTTAAGGCAAGGTCCAAAAAGAGATCCTTCTAAACACAAATCCTCTCCAGCAAAAAGCCCAGAAGCAAGAACCCTCTGAAAAGGTGACCCATGTATCATCTCCCAAACCATTATTTTTAATATGGACCTCAGGGATTGGGTCAAATAAATATTCATAGCTCAGTGATTCCCCTTCCCATAATGATCACTGGAACCTCCATCACAGTAACAGGCAGAAACAATCCACCCACTGAACAAGGGACTGTACCTTCAGCCTCACTTTCAGCCTTGCAAAGTAATGCGGAAATTGCTTACTCTGATTTCATTGCTCACCATGAGCTTCTCACAATGTGTATTAGAAGCCTCTGGTCCTAAAAGTAGTACTAGTTAAAACGTCTGTATCTTACATCATATTAAAGCCCAGTTCTACCATAAATCTTATCTCCTGCCCCGGTAGCTCCCCACCAGCATTTATTGATTTAATTTACATTCCTTCATACATACCTTATTTGCACAGTTCTTTAGGGTAGTCGCATAGCATGGTCCTCTTCCTTCTCCAGTAGTGGCCTGGTTGCCTGCTGCAGCATTCTCCTTTGAGCCCAGGGTGGCTTGATGATGAGCTCCAAGGAAGTAGATCCTTGATGCCGTAGGCTCATGGGAAGTGGACTGGGTGAATCTAGGTGTCATTTAAGCTGGAAGAGGAGTCATCAATGACAAATAAATATCTATAAAATATTACCTGCAAAAAGAAGACCATTAATACCATGACAAGAGCAAATAAAGCATTAGGACCAGATAATCTGCACCCCAAGGTACGTAAAGAACTCAGTCAGGTTATAGCGAGACCATTATTCCTCATTTTCAAGGACTCCTTAATGACTGGTAGAGTACCAAGTGACTGGCAGAAGGCTACAGTAGTCCCAATATTCAAAACGGGGTCAAGATGCCAACCTGGGAACAGACCAGTCACTCTAACATCAATAGTATGCAAACTGCTAGAGGGAATGATAAAGGACTATTTAGTAGAGTTTGTTCATGATAATGGTATAATAAATGATAATCAGAGGTGAGTAGAGATCTGGATAGAGGGAGGCAGGTGGATGTGGTATATCTGGATTTTTCGAAAGCATTTGACACGGTACCACAGAAACGCTTAGTACACAAGCTGAGGTCTATGGGCATAGATGAAATGGTGTGTACATGGATAGAAACTGGCTACAGGAACGTGTCCAGAGAGTATCGATAAATGGCTCATCTTCAGATTGGTCAAGTGTCATGAGTGGCGTGCCTCAGGGTTCTGTGCTAGGCCCCATATTATTCAACCTGTTTATTAACGACATCGGGGAGGGCGTGAATAGCCATGTTTCCGTGTTTGCCGATGATACTAAAATCGGGAGGGTCATAGACACGGACTTAGATCAATATTCAAAACGGGGTCAAGATGCCAACCTGGGAACAGACCAGTCACTCTAACATCAATAGTATGCAAACTGCTAGAGGGAATGATAAAGGACTATTTAGTAGAGTTTGTTCATGATAATGGTATAATAAATGATAATCAGAGGTGAGTAGAGATCTGGATAGAGGGAGGCAGGTGGATGTGGTATATCTGGATTTTTCGAAAGCATTTGACACGGTACCACAGAAACGCTTAGTACACAAGCTGAGGTCTATGGGCATAGATGAAATGGTGTGTACATGGATAGAAACTGGCTACAGGAACGTGTCCAGAGAGTATCGATAAATGGCTCATCTTCAGATTGGTCAAGTGTCATGAGTGGCGTGCCTCAGGGTTCTGTGCTAGGCCCCATATTATTCAACCTGTTTATTAACGACATCGGGGAGGGCGTGAATAGCCATGTTTCCGTGTTTGCCGATGATACTAAAATCGGGAGGGTCATAGACACGGACTTAGACATTATAACATTACAGGAGGACCTGGATAAAATAGGGGAGCTGGCAACTATATGGCAGATGAGGTTTAATGTCGATAAATGTAAAGTAATGCACTTTGGGGTTACAAATATGCAATCGGAATACACATTAATGGGAATTCCACTCGGGAAGTCAGAAATGGAAAAGGATCTGGGGGTCATAGTAGACCACAGGTTGAATAATAGCTCGCAATGCCAGGCTGCGGTAACCAAAGCGAGCAGAGTTCTGTCTTGTGTTAAAAAGGAAATGTACTGTAGAGACAAATCTATAATTTTGCCACTTTATTGATCACTGTTTCGACCTCATCTGGAGTATAAGGTCCAGTTTTGGTCACCAGTCCACAGGAAGGATGTTCTTAAGCTGGAGAGAGTCCAGAGAAGGGCAACTAAACTAATTAAGGGGATGGAGGATCAATGCTATGAGACAAGGCTACTAAATCTAAACATGTTCACGCCGGAAGTGAGGATATTAAGGGGGGACATGATTTTGATGTACAAGATGTTCAATGGTGATAGCAGCATCAGCAATAAACTTTTTACAGTAAACTCCATAACAAGGACTAGAGGCCACCACCTAAAATTGATGGAGAAAAGATTTAGGCACATGGGGTGTAGAGGGTTCTTTTCAGTTAGAGCGGTTAAGGTCTGGAACTCGCTGCCACCAGAAGTGGTATCAGCTGAGAGTGTTGAATCATTCAAAATGGATTTGGACAATTTTCTCAGAGACCGTAACATACTGGGGTACAGGTACCCTTAAAAATAAGATCACACGGGGATTCGTACACATGCAGAATAACATACATACACACAATAGGTTGAACTTGATGGACCCGCGTCTTTATTCAACCTCAAATACTATGTAACTATGTCAGACCTGTATGGAGTTCAAAGGCCAGAGCAGCCACTTAGAAACCTGCACCAGCTCACTTCCTCCAGTACACAAACCCTGCACTAGCTCACTTCCTCCAGTACACAAACCCTGCACTAGCTCACTTGCTCCAATACACGAACCCTGCACCAGCTCACTTCCTCCTGTACACGAGCAGATCTGCTGAATATAAAATTAGAATGTATACGTAGCTAGATCTCTATTTCTTTAGTTTTGGATGGAGTAGGGTTTAACATTACGGTTTAAACTCGCCAGTTTTTGCTATCAATGTCCCATTAGGATGAGTGTTTCCTTCACTTCCACTGTCTTGGTGACGTGGGCATAAAAAATAAAAATGTGAAAATAAATGCAATTTACAATGAATGATCTGCACTGTTGCAGCAGGCTTTGAGTTAATGAGGAACCTGCGTGTATTGGTCTACGGGGCCTCATTACATTTCCCCAGAGAAACCAATGTAAGTCTATGTGTGTGCTGAGCAATCATTAAAATTCGATTATCTGCGTTTGTCTCGTCTCTGAAACAATATAAAAGTGCCGGCTGCAGATCATGTGCCATCCTATGCATACTGAGTACTGACCCCTGACTCCCATTACAGAACCCGACTTTAATCATGTGAGCTCCACATCTATATATCAGTATATTGGGATAGGCAGCTTTGTTTTCTTTTGTAACACTGTTGCTCAGTTTCCTGTTCCTGACAACGCAAAATCACTACCAGGTGGTCAGCCAGCCCTGTGCACTCCTTCAGCTGACTTCATTTTATTATACATGTGAAGATGACATGAATGCACTCACGCATGTGGATCTGGTATAGCCGCCTTAGAACAAGAGGGGATCTGAAGTGGAGAGCGCTGTTGTTCTTGCTGGGAGATCCGCGCTGGGTATGAAGCTGGTGGTGCCATGTGTGTGGAGCAGATAGTGAGAGGAGTCACAAGGCTTTTTATAGTTAAGGAAACACCTTCTGTTCTACACCTCCTACATCCTCTGCACCCCTATTCTCCTACATCCTCTGAACCCCTATTCTCCTACATCCTCTGCACCCCTATTCTCCTACATCTTATGCACCCCTATTCTCCTACATCCTCTGAACCCCTATTCTCCTACATCCTCTGCACCCCTATTCTCCTACATTCTCTGAACCCCTATTCTCCTACATCCTCTGCACCTCCATTCTTCTACACCTCCTGCATCCTCTGCACCCCTATTCTCCTACACCTGCTACATCCTCTGCACCTCCATTCTCCTACACCTCCTGCATCCTCTGCACCCCTATTCCCCCACCCCTCCTACACCCTCTGCACCCATTTTCTCCTACACTTCCTATATCTGCTGCACTCCTATTCTTCTACACCTCCTACATCCTCTGCACCTCCATTCTCCTACATCCTCTGCACCCCTATTCTCCTACATTCTCTGAACCCCTATTCTCCTACATCCTCTGCACCCCTATTCTCCTACATCTTATGCACCCCTATTCTCCTACATCCTCTGCACCTCCATTCTTCTACACCTCCTGCATCCTCTGCACCCCTATTCTCCTACACCTGCTACATCCTCTGCACCTCCATTCTCCTACACCTCCTGCATCCTCTGCACCCCTATTCCCCCACCCCTCCTACACCCTCTGCACCCATTTTCTCCTACACTTCCTATATCTGCTGCACTCCTATTCTTCTACACCTCCTACATCCTCTGCACCTCCATTCTCCTACATCCTCTGCACCCCTATTCTCCTACATCCTCTGCACCTCCATTCTTCTACACCTCCTACATCCTCTGCACCTCCATTCTCCTACATCCTCTGCACCCCTATTCTCCTACATCCTCTGCACCTCCATTCTTCTACACCTCCTACATCCTCTGCACCTCCATTCTCCTACATCCTCTGCACCCCTATTCTCCTACTTCCTCTGCACCTCCATTCTTCTACACCTCCTACATCCTCTGCACCTCCATTCTCCTACACCTCCTGCATCCTCTGCACCCCTATTCCCCCACACCTCCTACACCCTCTGCACCCATTTTCTCCTACACTTCCTATATCTGCTGCACCCCTATTCTTCTACACCTCCTACATCCTCTGCACCTCCATTCTCCTGCACCTCATACATCCTCTGCACCCCTATTCTCCTACATCCTCTGCAACCCTATTCTCCTACACCTCCTACATCCTCTGCACCCCTATTCTCCTACACCTCCTACATCCTCTGCAACCCTATTCTCCAACACCTCGTACATCCTCTGCAAACCTATTCTTCTACACATCATACATCCTCTGCATCCCAATTCTCCAACACCTCATACACTCGGCATCCCTATTCTCCTACACTTCCTACATCCTCTGCACTCCTATTCCTCCTACATCCTCTTCACCCCCATTCTTCTACACTTCCTACATCTTCTGCACCCCTTATCCCCCACATCTCCTACATCCTGTGTACCCCCATTCCCCTACACCTCCTACATCCTCTGCACTCCTATATCCTCTGCCCCCTATTCCCCCACACCTCCTACATCCTCTGCACCCCTATTCCTCAACACCTCCTACATCCTCTGCACCCCTTTTCCCCTACACCTCCTACATCCTCCTCCTACACCTCCTGTATCACCTGTAATCTCTTCCCCCTACATCTTCTACAGCCCCCGATTCCACACTGGTCATAACACAGCTAAAGTACTAACATGGGCTATTGACTGGCACCTTCAGGTGTCTGCTTATACCTTCAAACATGTGCCCAAGGGTCCTGGAGCCCCAAAACCCAAGGAACCCTTTTAGGCAAATATTGACTCAAACTGAGAAAATATTTATCCAGCCCATCCCCGTCCACTTTCTTATCTTGTTATACTAAAGATGGGTAGGGAGGTGGTCGGGAAGTGGTAGGCTAAGGCGTAACATTCTCTGTTGATATCAAGATTTTAATCAAGATTTAAAAATGGTGGGCCTTGGGGTGTGGGCCCCCAGGACCTCTAGTGCACTTTAATAGTACTGCGTGCAGCAGATTACATTGTTACAGATTGTATTTGCTCTTTACTCTGACAAAAAAGTTGTATTAATCGTATTTCTTACAAAAAAAAACTACAAAAAATCAATTTTTAAAAATATAATTTTCTTTTAGAGACTCATGTAACCCTTCTGTAATGCAACATTGCAGAGCGGCTGCAGACAGAGTGCATTGTGCTATGATGCAGTAGGGCAGCCCATGAATATGATATTTAATAAGTAGATTATTAATAATTAATAGATTACCATGTGATGAGGTGCAATGGCTAGGTGCGTTGGGGTGCCATTATGAAATAATGGCACCGCAGCACCCCTAACGTTGTTATGCGGGACCGTGTGCGGCATTGCAACCTCCTACATAGAGATGTGAATGAAGGGGACAGCAAACTGCTGCAACCAGTTATTATTATTATACAGGATTTATATAGCGCCAACAGTTTGCGCAGCGCTTTACAATATAAGGGAGACATTACAATCACAATACAAATCAAGACAAGATGGTAAGGAGTTCATGTGAAGCGTATTCCAAAATGTGCAGCTTTTACAGCACTTGCCAGCAATGTCAAAATGACAGCCAGATGTTGCTGTGTAATCACGTGAGCTGGAGAGATACAGAGTAACATTGTTTATTTTGTATCTACTCTGTTTTATTCATCTGCAAATCAAAAGGATGAGCTTCCATCTACAGTATACACTGAGTGGCCAGATTATTATGACCACCCCATCAGTACTTCGTTGGGCCGCCTCGTGACTCCACGAGATGTTGAAAGGTGATGCGAGGAATCTGACACGGCACTGTTACCCTTCTGTTGTCTTGTATCAGTCTTGCCACTCTCCGTTCTGCCCTAACATTGACTAGTCGCTGACGGCCACAATTTGCACGTTCAGACCCAGATTTTTAGCTGACAGTCCAGTCTTTAAACACTTTAACAATGAGCCCCTTTTAAACATTTAAGAAATTCTGCTGTTTTGCTGATACTCGCTCCATGGCTCCGAGCGCCAACAATCATCCCGCGTTCAAAGGCTGTTAAATCGCGTTGTTTCCCCGTATCTTCAGAAACAAATCACTTCTACTGTCGTGGTAAACAACCTGCTTCCCTATTTATAATGGTCTGGCCCTCTAGCAACTTCAGTGCCAAATTATAGCTAATTTGCCTACAAACGTCAGGTGGTCATAATAATCTGGCCACTCAGTGTATATGATATCAGTTAAAGCAACCTGACCAGCTGAGCAAAAATCTGTTCCTATTGAACTTTATAACCCTTAGGGGGTTATTCACTAAAGAGCCGAAGGATCCAGCCGTAGCTTCAGCTGATCCTTCGGCCGCCTCTGCCCTTCGGTTCTGTACGGGCTATTCACTATAGCCCTACAGCAGCCGATAGGCTCAGCCGAGCTGAAGGCATATGCTTCGGCTCAACTGAGTCAAAGTGACACCCAAAGCGTGTGCTTTGCTACCTGCCCCGACCTCTGCTGCGTTCTACGACTTCGATTCCGGATTGGGATTTTGCTACCGTGCTCTTAGACTGCCCCTGTACTGGCTACCACTACGCAGGAGATTGTGCGTTATGCTAGTCTACTTGAGTAGAGGTACCAATCCTACTGGCAAGTCCCCCACTTCTGGGCTCCTACCATCACCAACCTGATAGTTTGCTTGCACTGAGGCAGCAGTTGAATAAGATGGTCCCAAAATTCTTGTTGGATAGGGGCCCTTTGATGACTATGTTCACCACTGATTGACTTTGGTTTGAAAAAATAAAGATAGTTGACCAATATTGCTAACTTACATTGTCTTGTATATAGAGGGAAGACTGAAGAACGCATTGGAACCATGCAGAATGATACATCTTCCCACCAGTTGCTGCTGACACTCAGAGACACGGGATCACTCAGATACCTCTACAGTGCAATAGCTCTACTCGTTTAGATCAGTGTTATTACGTTGAATGTTACCATTATCTCAACGATTTTGTTATGCAAGAGTTTACAGGAGCCCATGTATATTTTTGTATGCGTGCTGTGCATTAACGGCCTCTATGGCAGCACCTCTTTCTTTCCCAGTTTGATCTTCAATCTGGTCAGCAAAATCAACACCATTACTTATGCTGGATGTTTGACGCAAGTGTTTTGCACTTTGCGACCGTACAGTAGAAACGGTTGCACGCCTTCCATACACCTGCCGATTATTGTACGATCGCTGGATTGCCCGCGATTATCGTACGATAATCGGCAGCTGTATGGGCACCTTAACTGTCATTTTAAATATTTCACACAGAGCGCTTTGGGGAAAAGAGGTTGATGGAGGAGAACATGGTTGGTATCAGCAGTGGCCAACACACATTAGCCTTTCCTTGGTGAGATCCCACCTCCAGTACACACATTGGTCTTTCCTTGGTGAGATCCCACCTCCAGAACACACATTAGTCTTTCCTTGGTGAGATCCCACCTCCAGCACACATTGATGTTTCCTTGGTGAGATCCCACCTCCAGCACACACATTGGTCTTTCCTTGGTGAGATCCCACCTCCAGCACACACACACACATTGGTTTTTCCTTGGTGAGATCCCACCTCCAGCACACACATTTGTTTTTCCTTTACGAGATCCCACCTCTAGCACACACACATTGGTCTTTCCTTGGTGAGATCCTACCTCCAGCACACACATTGGTCTTTCCTTGGTGAGATCACCTTTTCCCTCCAGAGACTCCTCAGTCTTCTGTCACACACTGTATATTGAACACTGTCCATGCCCCCAGACATTGCTCACCAAGCTCAGTCTATGTCCCCCTCCCTTCTCTGTAGAAGTAACGTTTCTCATTGCTTCTCAGTGTGTAGTCCAGGATTGTGTTATGTTAGGACACACATTGGTCTTTCACATGTATTCTGCACCCAGAACACACACACACCTCGATCCTTACTATCCATACTACCAGTATAATGCTCCTTCAGTGCACAGAGTTATCTAAGCAGTTTTTCACCAGTTGGATACATGTATTCACCCATGCATTGACCATTCTGCAGCATATTTGTAATAACCTCCTAATGATCAGTAGCTTCACAATGAGCTTTAACCCTCTTAGTCACCTACCCCCAGCTAATAGGTAAACCCCTCAGTGACCTGTCTGCAGTGCTTGTGCATTTTCCCTGCAGTGATCTGCTTCAAGAGCCTGTGCATCAGCTCCTCTTAGTGACACGTAAGCACAGTGTGTGCAATAACCCCTCAGTGACCTGCACCTAGGATTTAATAATTTCCCCCTTAGCACCCAGTCCCCATCTTCTGTGCATATCCCTTAAGCAGCCATTCCTCTGGACACATACTGCCCCCATCATACTCTCTAAACTCCTCTCCTGTAGATACTGCCCCCATCATACTCTCTACACTCCTACGCCCCCATGTCCCCCATCATACGTCATCCTACGCCCCCATGTCATCCTGTGTCTTCGCTGCCAGTGCCAGGTCCCATTAGCGGCGAACTTTCCGGGTGGAGGAGAACAGAAAATGCCGCCGTTGCTCCGCCTCCTGCAGCCCTCACTCTTTCACATGCGGCTGAGCGGCCAGGGGAACCAGGGGCACTTACGTCACTCACTGACGTAGGACGTAGCCTAGGACGAGACAGTGAGACTGTCACTGAGACTGCACAGGTCAGTGCCGCTGCGGCCGGTGGGGACTCGTCCTTCAGATGCCGCCCGCAGCGGCAGCCCACACTGGTCTTGTTCGGACGGCCGGAGCCGGACTTATGCTGGGCGGCCGACTGTCACTGTCAATCTTCCGCCCTGTTCCCTGGCGCCGTAAGGAGAGTGCCCATGTTGCCTTGCGCTAGCACCGGCCTTGCCTGTACATACAGCCCCCTCATAATCTCTGCACTCCTCTCCTGTACATACTGCCTCCATCATACTCTCCGCACTCCTCTCCTGTACATACTGCCTCCATCATACTCTCCGCACTCCTCTCCTGTACATACTGCCTCCATCATACTCTCCACACTCCTCTCCTGTACATACTGCCCCCTGTCATATCCCCCACACTCTTCTCCTGTACATACTGCCCCCTGTCATACCCCCCACACTCCTCTCCTGTACATACTGCCCCCTGTCATACCCCCCACACTCCTCTCCTGTACATACTGCCCCCTGTCATACCCCCCACACTCCTCTCCTGTACATACTGCCCCATCATACTCTCGGCACTGTGTGGTCATTTATTATTTTTTTGTCAAGAGGAGGACTGTGCTTTTAATCAGAGCCGATTACTTGTTTTTCAGTACTGATGCAAACCGCTTTACAAGGTCCAGGTTTGGAGTCGGCTTCAAATGCATTATGGGATATGTAGTTTTGAACAGTGTAACATCATCATTGCTTGCTGGAAGCAATGCATGATGGGATATGCAGTCTTGAGAAGTGGACATCAAGCAGCGGGGAAAGAGACCCAATGCACACTGGGAATCAGGCTAGTTGCTGGAATTATTATTTCTACATGCTGATGTTACAATGCTGATGATATAACAGGGGAGGATATGCTGGGACTTCACAACTCCTTTAAATAAATGACTGTTTTTTTTTAAAGCAGGGAAACTGCAAATGTCAGTGAGCCAATTCTCCATGAAGCCTCCGTAC